ACACAAACGAAACACAAAACAACACTAATATAAACAAATAAGTAAGACTAAACTAACAACATAACTCTTTCAACTAGTTATCGTAAGTCCCCGAAAATGGCCCCAAAAACTTGATGCCGCCGCGCATCGAGTTTTACATTTATAAACTCGATCGTCAACAGTACTATCTACCCCAATCCAGGACAAGTGCACCCTAGAGTGGCGGAGTAGTATGTTGGTGACTGAGGTTGTATTCCAAGGGTCACAGTATCTTAGGCTACTCTTGGCTCGGTTGTTATCTAATAAACCTGATACTTAGCAGGTGAGCAGTTGACTATTACTGGCCTAGGGATCAATAAAGGAGAAGAGGTACTAGGGGTGCCTTTCCCTAAACTTAAGTTCATCATGCAAATGACTAACTGTGTTGGGTTTATAGAATATGATGCACAACTCTCTAATATGGTGATTTTAGCAATTTATCGATTACTCTCCCTCCTCCTAACACGGCCCACAAAGAACCAATGTAACCTCAGTCTAAGTATACATGATTGCTTTGCTCCCATAGTTCCTCTCAATAGGTTTAACCTATCATGCATATACTAGAGACGTGCTGCGATTAGAACGCATGCGACTTCTCTAGTATTTTTTTAGGAAGGCATTCCTATAGCAGGGGTTTGTTCTCCCCGTCCACTAAGGAACTCTAAGATTATTCATCTTCCCTTAATCTGCCAGTTGGCTCTACCTAGTCTAACCCTAAAATTCCCACCTATTGTTAACTCAGTTGTTGGCTAGCAGGGAAGAGTTGGGCGACTTACCCAAGCATAATTGAGCATAAATGAAGCATATATTCACTAAAACAAACATATCGATTCATAAACCCTAACACAATTACATCTACATTCAAAACCTAAATCTACGGTTTGGGGGATTTAACCCCTACTACCTTGGAGAACTACCACATCAAGGGGGGGGGGGGGGGGGGGGGGGGAATAAGATACATGGAAGAAAATAGAAGAAGGCTTGATGTTGGGAGAGCTCCCTTCATTCTTGGCTCCTCCTTCTCTTCTTCTTGTTCCTTTAGTTTCTCTCTCTAACCTAACTCTAGAATAAAAGATTTGCCAAAATCCAATCTACACAAGTGGAGGAGTCCTCTGTTAATAGAATTCTGCAGGCACAGACAAGTTCACGTCCACGGTGCAGAAGATCACGACCATGATCTTTCGGAAAGAGGCTGCGATCTTGAAGAGTATAGAATTCTGAGGACGCGGCGAAGTTCGCGGGTAAGGGGCTTAAGATCGTGGTCATGATCCTTGGGGGAGAGACTGCGATCTTGGCTTCAACGGCTTTGGTTTTGTTATGATCTGTGAGTCACGGCCGGGACCTTTCTCTCGGACTGGGATGAAGAGAGACGTGATTTGACTATAAAGACTTTTTGTTCCTTCCTAGACGGTTTCATCTCCAAGTTCCCGCCAGAAACTCTATTGTTCGCGACCGCAATATTTGGTTTCAAGGTTGCGATCTTGGTTCTCTATTTCACGCCCTCACTTCATGGACGTGATCTTGAGACTGATGGCTGCAATCTTGGCTCCTTCAACTGCGAACTCCATTTTTGGCTCTTTTTCCTATACATTAGCCCCATTTCTCCCTTTTTCGCTTGTAACATCAAATGCAACCTAGAATAACATGATATAAAAAGGAAGTGATCTCCGCTACAAATGATGTTTGATAAGTTGAATCATGCTCAAAATGACAATAAAACACCTAATAAATGAAGGCTAATTAATATCTTTTTGGGTGTTATCATTGGGGAGGCCCTTGATTTTGCAAGCTACACCTAGCTCAAAGGCGTACAAGAAAGAGTGCTTCATGGGAGACAACCCATGTCTGACATATAACTTGAGGACGAAAAATGTAAGTGCTATTCAGAGGCATCCCGAATTTCTATCCTCCAACGCACCTATATTTGATAACGCCTAAATTGATCACTTTTTACCTCCATAAATTAGGTGTTTGTGTGCCGAAATCATCGTACTTAGACCACTTTGTAAACTTTTTTTTAATGATAATATAAGTTAAACTACGAGCTTTAGTTTGAGTAAGGTTGCTTTAAGTGCTATTCATATGAAACTATATATACTCTTTTGTCATATGTTATGCTTGCTTGGTGTTTTTAATGATGTTCCTGGTCGAATACTTATATTCAATAGATTCGAGATCGATTTTGAGTTTATCTGGGCACTTTGACAATGCATAGGATCAAGAAAAGAGGAATTTTGGCCATGCCACAGCCACATCGCCAGGTCATGATTGAGATATTTCATTTGAGCCATGAGCAGAAGCAACAATGGAGTAGAATATTTCATGGCTAGACTCGCAACCAACAAGGGTTAATCATGAGATGAAGATCACGATAGTGATGTTAGAGCTTGCGAGCCATGTCAAACTCGATGATTCGACATTGTTTTATACGTTAAGGGCACGGTTAAATTCACGTTCATGGAAGTAACACGATCGAAACCTATCTTTTGCTCACCATTTCACTAGAGTCACGAAATTCATGAACATCCCTCGAGTCACACCCCATGGTCACGACGTGCCCCAAATTTCACTATAAAAGCCCCTTTTCAGCACTTGATGAAGGGGAGTCTACCTCAAGTGAAATATTAGGATTTTGGAGATTTTTTAGTGAGAGAAAATCCTTCAAAGAGATAAGTAAGGAAAGATCCATCCAAGAACCAAGCAAAAGGGTTCATTCCAAGGAGAATATGTTTAGTTGCTCTTTCTAGTTTTTATTTTCTTTTCCTCTTTATGACTTAAACTCCTCTAGTTGCTTAGGACATATGAATTCTAGTATGAAGTTGGATTTTGTTGATTGAATGTGAACTTAGCTTGATCTTCTGCCTATCTATATCTATTTGATGTTTAATAGTGCTAATCTCTTGCTTCAATAGATATGGTTATTGCTTCGTGCTTGACCTAAGTTGAGGTGACCATCCCCTTAGGCTAAGACTAGAACACATAAAGTATTGTGAAATTTGGATTACATCGCCATTGAGTCAAAGTTCCATTCTTATAGGGATTAATCCCATTGGAGAGTCTAGACCTAATGCTTTAGGTACCTAGTTAGTTACATGACCATTTAGCTAACATAGATACCTAAAAGTTAGGTTTTCTTACATGACCTTACATCAACCACTAGTCTAAGTGATTTCTCGTAGTATAGAAGATAGGTAAGTCATGCTAAGGCTTGGCTCAATCATATAATCGTCCTACTACTATAAGGATTCGATTCTAAGTAACTATCTCATCTCTATCGTCATCCCGAACTAGTTAGTTTTTATTTCTTTCTAATTAGTATGTTCAATTCGTTCTTCAATAAAAATTCTTGGTTGATTAATAATAATTTAAAGCAAAGTTATAGTAGACCTAAGAATCCCATGGGAATACGCATTGGCGGAGGCAACTAAGATCGCCCTTGTCCCTAGACAGGGGTCATTTTTTGGGTTGGAAAAAACCCAACTTATGCTTGATTTGTGTACAGAACCCAACACCAAGAGTTATCGCAAGCAAGTTTTACCACTGCACCGCATCAAATAATTTGGTTATATGTTAACAAAAAAGCAATTTATTCTATGATAAACGAAAACCAATTGAATAAAAACCTAATCCAATCTCTTTACTCCTTGGCCCTCCTCTTTTTTTCACAGCCGCATCAGGCGTCCAACGACTTGGATTAAGGGGATTCATTCGAAATTCTCCCATGCCCAGCGCCCAATAACAAGTTTCAAGATTGAATTGGAGATGACTTCGCTAATGATTGTTAGTGAGACATATTTAAAGAGACATACTTAAGAGTGTAGATAACAAATGTATTTTACATTTCTTTCAAAATATGAAAAATCTGGGGTGGTTGTTTATAAAAACAATTATTGTATTACTCAGTTAATTTTTTATTTATGAATGGATTAATTAGATATAATTTATTTCAATTATATGTATTAATTAAATATTCATTATATTTATATTTTGAAAAGAGGACAGAGGTAGTTTCAGTTCATGCCTCCGTCACTGGGAATACAACCTTGAAGTTCAATTTTACGCTATGCCACTCGATTGAGGCACACTTGCCTCGATTAATAATAATTTAAAGCAAAGTTATAGTAGACCTAAGAATCCCATGGGAATACGAATTGGCGAAGGCAACTAAGATTGCCCTTGTCCCTAGACAGGGGTCATTTTTTGGGTTGGAAAAAACCCAACTTATGCTTGATTTGTGTACAGAACCCAACACTAAGAGTTATCGCAAGCAAGTTTTACCACTGCACCACATCAAATAATTTGGTTATATGTTAACAAAAAAGCAATTTATTCTATGATAAACGAAAACCAATTGAATAAAAACCTAATCCAATCTCTTTACTCCTTGGCCCTCCTCTTTTTTTCACAGCCGCATCAGGCGTCCAACGACTTGGATAAAGGGAATTCATTCGAAATTCTCCCATGCCCAGCGCCCAATAACAAGTTTCAAGATTGAATTGGAGATGACTTCGCTAATGATTGTTAGTGAGACATATTTAAAGAGACTTACTTAAGAGTGTAGATAACAAATGTATTTTACATTTCTTTCAAAATATGAAAAATCTGGGGTGGTTGTTTATAAAAACAATTATTGTATTACTCAGTTACTTTTTTATTTATGAATGGATTAATTAGATATAATTTATTTCAATTATATGTATTAATTAAATATTCATTATATTTATATTTTGAAAAGAGGACAGAGGTAGTTTCAGTTCATCCCTCCGTCACTGGGAATACAACCTTGAAGGTCAATTTTACGCTATGCCACTCGATTGAGGCACACTTGCCTCGATTGAGTGATATAGAATACTCTCATTGACAAAATTGATAACTTGGGCGCACAAATATTAAAAAGAAATACTTAAATATGTTTGGGGAAGAAGTTAAGAAAATTGTTTACATGGTTCATCCATTCTTAATTATGCAAAAAAACCAGTACAAAGACTTAATGGTATGTATTAAAATTTAGATCAATTTAAAAAAGAGACCGATTAATGATTATCAATCCGGACAAAAAGAAAAAATGAATTAGAACATTGAAAAACAATAAATTTCTTGTGTGGGGATCTCTCAACACATCATTACCAACACCTTACATGTGTCATGAAGTGTGAATTGTTTAAATAAATCTATCAAAATGAGATTTGGAATCAAAACCAAAACCCTAATATGAGATATAAATGAAAAAAAAGGAACGAATCAGTAGATTAGAAGAAGCTTGACTAAAATAACAAACAAACTTCATCTCTCAGCAAACTGGCACTGCCTCCCTAAATGAAATCCCTACATTTTTACCTTGCACCTCCTTCTTACCGATCTCAGCATTGCCCACTTGCATCATTGCAACAAACTCATTGTAATCTATGCGACCATCCTGCAAGCCGCCACCAAAACCAATAAATTAACACATAATATTAATAATAATGTAAAATCATATACTGCAAGGAGAAACTTTCCAGAATCGCTTCACTTACATTATCCTGATCTACTTCTCGAATCATCTCTTCCAAACAGACATCCTCCATGCCAAACTCATTGCATGCTTGCTGGAGCTCATCAATAGTTATGTAGCCACTCCCATCCTTGTCAAAGTATGAAAAGGCCGCAAACAGATGGTCTTCCCTCTCAACTTTATTCAGATGCAGTGTTGCAGCTACGAACTCCGCATAATCGATTGTTCCACTATTGTCAATATCAGCCTGCAAATGGAGGATTTTTTTTTACTGGTTTCATTTCTTAATGGACTTTCCAACTGAGTCGGACAATCATTGTATTTTCAATTTTTACCGCTTGCATAAGGTCATAGATTTCAGACTCGTCAATGTTTGCGCCAAACTTTTTGAGTCCAACTTTGAGTTCCTCAAAGGTAATGGAATCACTGTTATCTGTGTCGATCATCTTAAACATCTCTCTCAATCCTGCAATCTCTTCTTCAGACAACTTCTCTGCAATTACCTGCATCACAATGCAATAATAGTAACAATTATAATAGATGTTAAAGATAATAATTTGATTATTACCCTCGTTTGAAAATCCACAAAAGAAGATGGAAACATATATAGAGTGGAACTTACTCTGAGAGCCATTTTCTTTAGCTTGTTCATAGCAGAGAACTGCTTCAAACGTGACAACACAGCTGGATCAAGAGGCTTGTCTGGAGCCACTCCATCTTCTCTCACCCACGGGTGGCCTGCCAAAGGACAATGTTGTCAAATTCTAGACTTTCAGATGAAAAAACATGGCAGAAGAAGGCATTTGATGTTTTACGAGAACTTGATTTTCACACAATGGGAGAGACTCACAAAGAACTTCATGGGTGCTTATCCTCTTCTTTGGATCCCTAACAAGCATTTTTTTCACTATCTCTTTCGCACTATCTGAAATATGAGGCCATGGATATGCGGTGAAGTCTAACTCCCCATGCAAAACCTCCTGGAAAATCTCATCCTCAGTTTCTACATCACAAGAAGAGTGAACATCAAATTTGGTAACTTTAGGCAATAAGTTTGCATCGTACATTAGTATAAAACTCCAAGATTTTACCTGCCCAAAATGGAGGCCCCCCACTCAAGAGAATGTAGACCATAACTCCAGCACTCCAAACGTCAGCTTCAGGACCATACCTTTTCCTCAAAACTTCTGGTGCAACATAGTAAGGGCTTCCAACCACGTCATTGAAAACCTGCCCTGCAATTCAAGTTTCGCCCTCGTTCAAAACATTAAGCATCTACTACAAGTAACCAAAAAAGTAATGTTCTTTTTCTGCATATATCTCACCGGGTTTGAAGAAGACAGATAGTCCGAAATCGATAGCCTTGAGAGGAGACTCTTCATTCTCATCAATCAACAGGAAATTCTCAGGCTTGAGATCCCTATGCATGACACCAAGTGAATGACAAGTCTGTATCACACCAAATATAGTCCTAGTGATCTCTGCAGCTTTCCTTTCTGTATAATGCCCTCTCTTAATGATTCTATCGAACAACTCACCACCGGAACAAAGCTCCATCACCACATGAACCGCTACAGAATCTTCATAAGCCGACTTGATTCGTATGATGTTAGGGTGACCAGACAAATGATGCATGATCTCGATCTCTCTCCTCACATCCTCCACGTCATCCATGGTCAACAACTTCCTCTTTGCAATGGATTTGCAAGCATAGTGCTTCTTGGTTCCCTTCTCCACACACAAGAAAGTGGTCCCAAATTGACCATGGCCAAGCTTTCTTCCCAAGTTGAAGTACTCCTTCAAGTGCCCCGTCTTGGTTTTCAACACTGAATCAGTTTGAAGCCCTGCAACTTCCCCACCTGGATTCTTGGCTTCAACAGTTTTTGACTTCGGTTGCTGTTTCTTTGACTGTGACTGAATTCCCACCAGAGCTTGAGGAGCCTGAGTTTGCAGTGGCTGAAGTGGTAGCCTGACCATTGTTACATCAGCCACGTCCAATGGAGGTTGTGACTGCTGGATTGCCACCTTAGCTTGATCCTGTGATGGTGGTGATATAGCAAATTTCTGTAGAACCTGATTCTGATTGGGCTCCTTCTTGGGCTTGTGTGGTGGGGAATGACTCTTTTCTCTAACAACCTTATTTGGTGGTTCTTCATGAGACATCTTGGCTTCTGCGTTCTTCTCTTCGAGCGACTTTGGAGCCTTCTCGGGATCTACTGCCACATGTTTCTCCTCCTCTTTCTTCTCGCATGGCTTCTTCTCCATCTTCATTTGCTTGGGAGGCTTATGAGGAACCTTTCCAGAATTAACAACATTGCCAGGTTCAATGTTCTTCTTGTGTGTCTTGGTTGGTTTCAGCATGCCAACTGTTGAATTTGACCACCATTCTGGATTGCATATTCCTCCGGCAAGTGCTTGTGCACCTTTTGCTTGAACACAATTGTTTCCCATCTGAACTGAACACAAAAAAGTTCTACGACCTCCTTTTTTCCTCTTCACTATGTAAACAATCCATCCCCCATCGTACAAACAATGTAAAAACACACGAAATCCTGAAAACTCTAAACTCCTGGCAGGTTTCGGGTTCCGAATCCAACTCTGCCCAAAAAGCCCAATATCTTTCTTCAACTATTCCCCCCTGACTAAGACATTGTCATACTTTCCTGGTACAATACCCAAAAAAACTAAAGCACCTCTCTTTTCTCTTCCTCGGGAATAAATGCCGGAAGCTTGAACACAATGTGGCGTTTGATTAATATATAAATAGGAAAAACCAAGAATTTTGACAAGTTCTATGCTCAATGGAGAGATACAAAGCAATGAGCAGGCAGAGAGAGATGGAGAGAGTGAAGGAAGGGAAGAAGTTGGAAGATGGAAAAAGTCCAAGAGGAAGGTAAAAGAAGTCTCCCCTTCTCTGTTTTCTCTTTTTTGTTTTGGCTTTTTGTTTGTTAAAGGTCAAGAAAAGGGATTCTTTAACAGAACAAAACGAACTAGGTGGGGGGAACACAGATGACAATCCCAGGGAATGGAGTTTTGCAAGAAGCACAAGGCTAGACGTCAGAAATATGAAGAGAGGAGCAGGAGTGAAGCAGGAAGGCATACCGAGGACAGGAGAGTACAAGTTTCTATTGTTGAGAGGGACAAGAGAAGAGAGCCCAAATATTTTGGGGATAAACTCTGAAAGAAATCCTGAATCTAGTTGTTAACCGAACAGATCAGGGGTAGAATTCCTTTTGTTGACTCTGGTTTTTGGCTGTGATGGACTGATGGTAATGGTGGGGAGAGAGCGAAATTTAGGGGAGATGAGTCTGTGCGAATAATATAAGAGGAAACCCCACCCCGGTTGGTAAGTGAAACGTGTTTTCCTTTTCTAAATGCCTAAGGGGCATTTGACGTTCATGACAATGAATCCCCTGCTTCAAGCTGCACATTGCAACAACGGAAGAAAGCAAAAAAAGTGAACTCGCTGCACAATGATTCGAAAACATTATTCGAGAGCAAGAACGAAATCAAAGGGCAATCATTCGTTAACCTAAGCTGGGTTCGATGTTTGAAGGCTCAGGGAGAAAAAGAATTTGGGACTGAAACCCATCAGAAGGCTTGAAGGCACCCCATTCCCAATCACGGGTATTACTGGAAAGTCACTGTAAATTTTTTACCGTAGTTCTCGTTGTTCTTCATGGAATACTCGGATTTCACCCTTGAAAACAACTGTAAACAGACAATTGGATAATTAGTATCAATAACAAACTTTCAGTATTAACATGAGAACCCACGAACTTTAATCAGGAGAAGCAAAAATGAATGTAGCCAAGCAGCACAGAGACATGAAAGTACACATTTAGACATTTAATCAAAAGCATGAACTATTTCTCCTATTTTGTTTTATGAACATGGACTTGTAAGTGAATATTGACCTAGACAAAAGGTGGAACTCGTAAAGCACAGTGATAATAATTCCATGATCGACCAAGCCACAAAGAAAAGGCAAGGATACATGGTTACCTAGTAGTAATCAATGTTTGTTATGTTTTATTTTTCTTCTTTTTTTTTTTTTGGGCTAATACAATATATTATCCACAACTATTAACAAACGGGGAATTATATCCATAACTATCGAAATACAAAATAATAGCCACAACTATTATTGCGAATCATGAAATGGATAACTGTCTGGATCTCCGTTAAATTTTATAACGGAGACTGCCACTTCACCATTCCACGTCAGAATATTAAAACAATAATATATTAAAATAATCATTATTATTAAAAAAAAAACCCCGACCCGTCGGCGAGCCTGCGGCCGTTCGCGTTCCCCCGACCCTACCCGGAAAAGGGTGGAGAGACGCTCGCCCCCGGGGACCCGGATTCGGCCGTCCGGACGGCCTGTGTCGAGGCCGCCGCCGCCATGTCGTCTCAGGTCACGCATCCTCCCTTCTCCACCGTCTCGAAGCCGCTCATAGAGATGGTGACTGTGGAGCAAGATCTGAACTCCCAGATCGGAGCCGCGATGTGCCTGGCGGCGGCGATTGAGGCGGCGCCGGAGCCAGAGGTTGAGCAGCTGAGGAAGGTGTTGCCTAGGCTGGGTAAGCTGGTGAAGGGAGAAGGATTCAAGGCCAAGACAGAGGACGTATTCGGCAGACGACGTCGACGAGCTAGAGGTTGATTCGAAGAAAGTTGCTGATGTTGGCGAATTATTTGAGGGAGAAAGAACGAATCTGCGCAAATTAAACACTCCAGGTCAGCCAGAAATCGAAGAACTTGGTGCTTTGACCAACTGCGATGGTGCCGGGAAACTCTGTTTTTCGACGTCAGAACAGGGCAGGAGAGAGGTTGATTTGGTCGGGGCCTTCGGGGCACCTTCGAAATCAACCAGCGCCGCCGACCTCGTCCAAACAACCCCAGAAATCTTTTCCCTAGGTCGGATCGGCTCGAATCTGTCTGACTTGCACAATCCAAATCGAGTTCATGTACCTTTGGAAACGCAAGAACAAGCAGAAAAATTAGGACGGGGGCGGAGAGGAAGGAGAGAGCGGCGGATTTTCCTTTCTTGTCGGTGGCGGCGGTGGAAGGAAATCGCTCTTGTTGATGTTGTAGACCGGCGGCTGGTTCTGGCTCTGCGGCGGTTGGGAGGAGGCAGGGGGCATCGGCGGTGGAGGACTTCTCTTTTGTTTTTGTTTTTCCTTTTTGACCTGCTTATGTGGCATTTGTGTTGACTGCCACGTCAGTATAGCATCTGCAAATTCACCATCATCTAACGGAAGTGTTAACGGAGACTTAACAGTTGGCTATTATTTTGTATTTCGATAGTTATGGATATAATTCCCCGTTTGTTAATAGTTGTGGATAATATATTGTATTAGCCTTTTTTTTTTTGAGAACCAGCTCGAGCTTCTTTGGTAGCCAGTTTAGTGGGTGCAAACCTGTCAGGTTAAGTTATCGTCTTTCTTAATGAACTTGATTCTTAAGAAGAGTAAAAAAATTGCACACCAACAGCACGAACAACTGGTAGGTTGATGGAAACAATAGATAGAGCCTGATTTTGCGGATACTCTTCTTTTAACTCCAAAGCAAGGAAAGCGAAATAAACATTTGAATGATCGTGGGGGCGGACCCAGGGCCTTTAGGGGTGTCCTGGGACACCCCTAAATGTTGGAAGATCGATTATCCAACCCTCGGTAGTAGTTTACGTATAGATAAAAAATTATAATTAATAGTCTGGGACACCGTTAAATTTAAAAAGAACGATTATACTACTCTCGTTTGTAGTTTACGTATGGGAATATAAGTGATAGTTTGGGTAATTCAAACCCGAGACACTACTACTACTAATACATATAATTTCCATTAGGCTACAACTTTTTTGTTGTTATATTCTAAACATTGTGTAATAGCAAAACTCTATTCTCTATCTTTAATTATTTTCAAAACCTAACAATTAATTTAATTACAAGCTACCTTTAATTTGTATTGATTTTATGGTTGTACGACAAGTGTTGAGAGTGTTTTTTCAGCTTTGAGTTACATCATGAACAAATTTAGAAGTCAAATTTGCGTCAGTTCATGATAATTGTATAGTAGGATATACCGAGACAAATTTATTGAGTAGTGTAGACACCACGTGTATTTTATAATTTTTTTAGAATATGAAAATACATCATTGACTTTTTTTAACTTGTACGTGTTGGGTATTTTGTGTATAATTTTTATCGATTAATAATTAATTATTTTTTGTTTTAATTTATTTTTTGAAAAAGGACACCACTATGTAAAATTTATGGGTCCGCCAAATTTATGGGTCCGCCACTGATCGTGGATACAGAACAACATGAGAGAACAATAGCAACCTGGTTCCTTATTCGGCAAACATGAAATCACAATAGGCAATAAGTTCAGTTTTCAGTGACGCACTTCAATAGTCGGTAAACATTTCGACCCTCAAAACAAAGAGCAAATATCAGTGTGTTTCATCAGAATACCAAGTTTACATGAGACAATTATAGAAGCAATAAATTATAACCAAGTCGAATTTAAGAGGAACTTATGAGATTCTTGCAAAATGCTGCTAACTGCAAATCCCTGCATTAAACATTGCAAGTAAAGTATGAATTCTCATGTTCTAGTCCAACTGACACATGAAACTTCCATTCCAAATCATAAAGTATTCCCTACAGGGTCCAAGAGGCAAAGAACAGCAAAGGTCACTTCCCCATACCTCTAACTGGACTTTTGTACTCATCACGACTGCTTTGAGATCCATATTGGTCTCATGTCGAGATTCTACAAATGCAGAAAATGAACTTAAAGGTAAACCAAATTCTATATCTCATTATTATTTACCTTGCAAAAATTGAGGAACGTCCTCCGAATTGGATCATGCTCAGTCACTTTCACGGTTAAGACCATGAAAGCAACTAATTTGCTTATCAATCCCTTAAGCCATAGCAAGGAAAAGGGATGGAAGTTACCGAGCTCTTCTATATTAGATCATTCATCCAGTTCCCTACTTGCAACATCAGAAACTCTAGTATAAAATCTTTTAACATATGGAAAACTTAGTTGGACTGTTAATGACTATTTGCTGCAGCGATTAGCAAACATGACACAAATCGGAGTTTCAAGTAACTTCCTTAGAGAAATTTTACAATGCTATATAGTATTTTTTTTTTTTTTGGCAAAGTCAGATAATAAATCCATAGTCATAAGCCAGAAGAAAGTAAAGCGCGGGAGTCGACAAATAGTCGAACTCCCGATGAAAGGGCCTGTTGTGCCACATGATGGGCAGCCCTATTAAGTTGACGAGAAACAAAAACGAAAGAAACATCGAGGAAGGAAGATGCCAAGCTCCTAACGTCTTCCAAAATAGCGCCACCCCGAACATGATGCATATCACCTCCAATCATCCGGCGGATCAAGAGTTGAGAATCCCCATGAAAGCAAACAGAAAGAAAGGAATGAGTTAAACACCAGTGTATAGCATCCCGTAGGGCTAAACATTCCATGAGAAAAGGGTCCTGAATACCCTCATAAAATTTCCCAAAAGCAAACAGAACATTACCTGCCGTATGATAGCCGACAAAGCCAATACTGCCTCCATGTCCACTCTTGGTAGCACCATCAAACCATACATTGATTAAAGATGGGGAACTTGGAGTCGTAGGTGCGTTACCGGGAGTGCGAGAAGGGCCTGGAGCCGCAGAAACAGTGCCACCGAGAGGTTGAATCGAGGAATTGGGCCCTAACGTCCTCCATTCACCCACGGTGCTATAGGTTTTTGCCTTTATGGTACAACTTAAAATTGTACATTTACGTTATGGTACAACTTCAGATTGTACCTATACTTTTTATACAAATTCTTTTATGGTACAACTTGAACTTGTACCTTTATGTGATGGTACAACTTCAAGTTGTAAAGTTGTACCATAACATAAATGTACAAATTTCTTTATGGTACAACCTAAACTTATACATTTAATGTTATGGTACAACTTCAAGTTGTACATTAAAGCACCAATACTATATAGCATAGTAGAAGTGCTCACTTCCTTAATATAAATTCCTAATAAATGAAAATAGTAGTGCACTATAGGGGCTCGAGCAAAAAAAAAAAAAAAAAAACAAAGGAATATATAGATGATTTTCAATGAGAATAACAATTACTATGAATGTGTAAACTTAGAGTTCATGAGAACAGTGTTGAGTCTAGCCTTGGCACCCTTATAAGCCGATCTTTATCACCATCTCTCTAAGGTTACAAATTCAACATACAACAAAATGGCAGCATGCTGATACACTATGTTTATTCTTTGTAATTTCTTCAAATGGCTTCTGCCAATCACTGTTTTCATTATTCGTCTCAGTGAAAAATATAAACAACATTAGGGATGGCAATTTCGACCTGACCCATTTTATCCGACCTGTTTGGCCTGTTTTGGGGCGAGGCGGGAATGGGTATCTCTCGTCGACCCGACTTGCCCTGACCCGCCCCATTCTCGACCCGTTTTTGCCTATCTAACATGTAATCTTAGTCAAATTACCTAGAATTTTCCTCATATTACCTCATTATTTAGCTATAATAAAGTTGTAAATAAGTGAAACCCTCAATTTCTCTAATAATTTAACTACATTTTATCATATTATGATTTATTTCTTGGTCTTTTAATGAATATTTTTAAAGTTTTTCACATAAATTACATACCCATTGGGTCGACCTGCCCCGACACGCGCCCCATGATAAATTACCCGACTTGGACCCGACCTGCCACGGGGAGGGTATGGGTATCGAGATACCCTGCCTGGACCTGCCCCTGCCCCATTGCCATTCATAAACAACATGAAGAAAAGGGCAACACAACCAAAACCAAACGATAAATTAATAACATGTAGATAATTGCATGATTGGCAACACTTGTATCAGTCTCCCATATCCTTCGAGAAAGGGTCCCAGTACTTACATTCATCAATTAGCTCCAATAGCCTCCACTTCATTGAGTAATGAGGCATGTCTTGTCCTGATGACAGGGATCAGAATGTCCGAGAAGTGCACTCCGGTGAAGGTCAGCATGGAGATAGAGGCAAAGCGCTCATGGTGGGGGAGAACAGTAGTAGTTTCGCCGATGAAATGGCGACGGATAGTTCACTCGCCCTATCAGAGCCTGACGACAGTTCGGTTTACGCAATGGTGCGAACAACGGAAGATGTGTCGCGGTTAGGGATGAACGCGGTTTGGGCCGATTATACTATTTTGGACTGGGCAGAGTTGTTCGAGGGGTTTGTTGTTCCGTCAGAGCATCTATTGGGTGGTCCGGATCGTGCCTCCATCCTTAGTCAAGCCGATGTTTTCCGCTACGTGCGTGGTCTCGAATTGCCGCCTCACTGGCAATACGTCGTTTCATCCGAATTCAGCAGCGTTGGCGATTGCCCGCCAGGACGGTGCGGCGTTTACACAGAGTATCGGCAGATGGGATTTAAATTTCTCATTGAGCCTTTGTTCTGTCGTTTATATGATTTGTTGGAAGTGTTCGTTGGCTCGTTTCTCTCCTTCTGTAATTTTTCACACATGTGCGTTGCGCACCATGTGTAAGCGGCGGAACTTGAACGCGACATATTGTCTGTTTCGCAAGATCTGCTAGCTGAAAGCTCCACGCTCAACTGGTCCAAAGAGGGGAAATGGAATGTCGATTAAGCGTCGAGATAATAAACCCAATGGATATTTGTATGGGTCGCCCAAGCTCGAAAATGATTGGTTCGAGAAGTTCTTTTATGTTAAGCCGATTCCTGAGGAGTTAACCGCCTTTCTGTAACGGATTATGAATCAGCTGTGGGAGTTTATCCACAACTCCAGACGCACTATGATCTGTTGCAGACTGCGCAGGTGGTCTTCATCAGAAGGGTTCACGCGAAGCCGTCCTTAGCGAGCTATATGTTGGTGGTTAGTCTTCTTCTTCTTCTGGATATTCTCTTGCTGTATTAATCTGATTCTTACAACTTTTATTTGTAGGGGTGGATTACAACTCTGATGCGTCAATGATCACCGTGGTGGATCTTCCCGCACCATCTAACGGCCGCAGGGAGAGGAAGAACGCGGGTGCGACGGTGAATCCCAAGGCGGCCAAGGTAGAAAGGATTGAACTGAGGGTTGAGATGGCATCCAGGAAGCCTCCGATGGCGGAGAAGGGGCCGAGTGGGAGTGGTGGCGGCTTAACATGGCGGATTGAGAAGGTGCCTGGCCGGAGTTCCGGGGTTTCGTCTGTACAGCAGACTCTGCCCGACATGATGGTTTTTCAGGACTTGACGGCTCTGTATCGAGATATCAAGTTGTCGATCGCTGCTGCGCAGCTTGCCTTGAAAGCTGTTTGCGCCGCTCTTGCTCTTCCTGCCAGAATGGAGAGAAGCGATCTGTATACTGATTTGGCGCACGCTCAGTTCCAGGTTTGTTCGGTTTCTTTCCTCTTCCTCTCTCTCCTTTCTTTTAGTTGTTGGGCGGCTGAGTCTCATAATGTGTTGCGGCAGGCATTGGTGGCCATTTAAGGTGATCCAACTACAAGGTCAAACAGCGGAGACAGAGCGGCGTATTTCTTCGATTTAGAAGAATTGCGACGAT